ACAATGTGTAAGAAGAGAGCTTGGATTGGACCCCAAATCAGTAACTCCAGTGTTCATTCCACAAGACACAAGACCAAGTCTCGCTGTGAGGAGCGCCCACAGGAAGAATTTTAGGCATCCTCAGGTGGGTGTGCTGTGGCTGCCCTTCAGAACCCACAGGGCATTTGCTCCATGACTGTGGACACAAAAATGGCCCATGTTCCAGCCTCTCACATAATATTCCGCAGAATTTGCAAACGCCCACCCCCTCCTCCCATTTACTGAAATCACTTCTGAAAGGAAAAGTAGCTGCTCAGGACCTCCAAAGCCAAGTTCTCAGCACAAAGGAGACTTATTTGCCCCAGAGGGACAGAAGGCCGGGAACAGGAGACAAAGACAGATAGAGGACAAGGGAGAGTGGGCGAGGTATTGGACCTGGAGGGACACAGGACCGCCTCTGGATAGAGAGGAGGCAGACACGGCACATAGGAAAATGGTGGTTTATAAAGGCAAAGGGGAAACTCTGTTAGGATGAGGTGTTTAATTTTAATTGGGTGTGTTAATTAGGTGAGCCAAAGGGGGCTTTTTGTTGCTGGACTTCAGTACTTTGATACCTGGACCTTGGTAGCAGGTGTTTGGAGGAGGAAGGGGCCCAGTAGGGGAATAGACCTTGGTGGCTGGCTTTAGGAGTGTAATCCACTGTTTTTTAGCAAGGCAGAGGGAATGGAGAGAAGGGCAAGCCCTGCCAGAGCCAAGCTCACCACGCTCTGGGCAGAGCTGGTCACAGTCCCTTCAACTTAGCTTACTTTTTTACCCAATACAGTGGGTCATCTGAGTAGTCACCATGCTTTACTGTTTAGGGAAGCACAGCAAAGAAAAACAGAAGTCTGTGTATGTTCAGCCCAGACACAGCTTGTTTTCTGAATCTCTTCAGAACCACTCGGCACGGAGGTCTCGTGTGCTCACTCCACACTCACCTCCTACCCCATGGAGGGCTCACTCCACACTCACCTCCTACCCCATGGAGGGCTCACTCCACACTCACCTCCTACCCCACGGAGGGCTCACTCCACACTCACCTCTTACCCCACAGAGGGCTCACACTCACCTCCTTCCCCACGGAGGGCTCACTCCACACTCACCTCCTACCCCACAGAGGGCACACTCCACACTCACCTCCTACCCCACAGAGGGCTCACTCCACACTCACCTCCTACCCCACGGAGGGCACATTCCACACTCACCTCCTACCCCACAGAGTGCTCACACTCACCTCCTTCCCCACAGAGGGCTCACTCCACACTCACCTCCTTCCCCACGGAGGGCTCACTCCATACTCACCTCCTACCCCACGGAGGGCACATTCCACACTCACCTCCTTCCCCACAGAGGGCTCACACTCACCTCCTTCCCCACGGAGGGCTCATTCCACACTCACCTCCTACCCCACAGAGGGCACATTCTCTGTTTTTCCTTCTTTTTATTTTCTTTTTAATTAATTGATTAAAGTTAAGGTTTCACTAGCTGGGCCAGGCTGACTTGGAACTCATGATCCCTCTGCCTCAGCCACCCTGGTGCTGGGATTTTGGCACACCTGATTTTGCTTCTCTTTCCTTAAACAACAAATTTATGCTTCACTGTCGTGAATGGCATCTTTGCTGTTTATAACATTTTTTCTTATTTGTCTATCACCATCATCCTCAGCTTCATCACCACCACCACCACCACCACCACCACCACCACCACCACCGTCATCACCGTCATCACCACCGTCACCACCATAATCACCATCATCACCATCATCTCTAGTCACACAACAGGTCCTCAATAGGCATGAATGACTGATCTGCAGCACAGTGACCCCCTTCCAGAGGATCCTGTATTAATCACAGGTATCCTCACAATCATCTTCCTCACAGAGGCTCACTCTCAGGCACAGTGCAAAGCACACCCATTTCATCTCATCTCATCTCATCCCATCCCATCCCATCCCATCCCATACCATACCATACCATACCATACCATTTTTCCCCCCGCATCCCAGGGCTCGGAGACTTCCCCTATTTTGTAGTAAGGAGACTTAAAACAGGGAACTTAGACCTCAGCCAGAATTTTATGGTAAGGAAGTGGTTATGGTGCCAAAACAGAGCTCTCATTTCAAAGAGAATAAGAGATCATTCATTTCAGAGTGAAGTAGGAGTGACCAAGGCCCAGGAACATAGATTTAGGTCACCCCGAATTCCATGTTCCAGTGCAGAAGCAGTCTCAAGAAGTTTTTATAGTAGCAGAACAAAGGAAGCTTCAAATCAAGACACTTTTCAAACACATTGGTGGAAACATCAGAGGCAGGCGGAGCAAAGCAGAGAAATCGCATCTCTCGGCCTCAGATACTGTCTGATGGGAGCCTTAGCTTTGGGGTTGGTGGAAGCTAGTGGTCTGCTCAGCTAACACATTCATAAAGGTTTTTATCTGTTACTTGGGGGATGTTAGGGCTGACACAAACACGGGCAAGGATTGGCTTTTGGGGGGCTAAAACTAGCCCGAGATCAATTGTAATTAGGCTCTGGACCCGCAACATTCCCACCTCACTACATCCCGGCAGGTCTAGTCAGTTAATCAGCTGTTGCAGACATAGCTCCTTTCCGGGAGTTCTCATTCACATGACAGAGTCCAGAGCCCCAGCTCTGGGTGTCTGACCCTAAAATTCACACACTATGCCGTTTCTCTAATTAGAACAATGAGGGTAGCTTCCAAGCCTGCTCAGCTGGAGGGGTGGGCTATGATCTCTACGCTCCCAGAGGATACTTGTGCTGTGTCCACAGACCACACCTCTTAGAGCAGGGATGTGGCTGCCAGTGGGCGGCAGACCCTCACCCTGCATTGCACGGACACTCAGGCCTCCTGCGCTGTCCATGTTTAAACTGTGTCAATTCTCCAGCTGGTATGCTAAGACACAGCGGCTCCTGGGGAAGGTGTAGGGCGAGGAAGAGACGGTCCCCTCGTCTTCCGATTGTATAACTGGCAGCCATTCAGGAAGCTGAGGATAACAGAGGAAGAAGGCAGGGCCCAAAGAAGCCAGGCCAGGCTCTCCGGCACTGACTGGACAAATGAAGCTTCAGCAACACACAAGGACAAGCCAGGTTATCTTTGAGTCCCTCTTGTTTTTATGGAAGGTCTGATAAAGTGTATTAGCAGGAAAAATGGGGGGAAATCCCTGTACTTGGAAGAGATTCCTTGCTGAGTTGTACATGAGAGAGAAATGCTTCTCTGTTCTCTCTCAATGCAGGAGAGGCTCTGTGAACTGGCAAAGGAGGCTGAATGTGTATCAGTGATTTGCAAATATGTCCTCCCCAGGGAATCATTCCACGCTGCCTCACAAGTCATTAGAAGTACAAGGTTCCGTTTTATTTCGTCTCCAGAAAGAAAATTAAAATGAGTATCCAACAAGTTTAAGAATCCACGTTTTCCATTCCCAAGCAAAAGGTGGACAGCGTGTGGTGTCCCACTGACCTGTGTCTTCTTCCTGAGCTGCAGCCATGCTCCGTGCACCTCAGGGAACCCTAGAGCATCTTCAGAACCCTGGGACACATCATTGCCATCAGAACCCCAGGGCACATCGCCATCAGATCCCCCTCAGGCCTGCTTCCACACACTGATGACCACAGCCCCTCCATCCTCAGCCAGCCTGGGAAGCCTCCCACAAGCACCTCACACTTCACCTCCACAGTCAAGCAGCTTCCAAGCTGTGTGCTGCTTCTCCTCTAGGTCCTGAGTGTTAGAGCCCTTGCTGGCCGGAATCACAGCCCTCCATCCTGTGCTCAGCTGCCGTCACTGGGTGCCTCTTTGGTTCTTCAGCACACTTCTGCCAAAGCCCACACCCATCTTCTACCGTTTTCCAGGCAGATGCCCCTTCCTGCTCCCCGACACTTCCTTACTTTTCTGCACATTTCTAGCACTTTCCTTGCTCTTGCCAAATCAGCTCCCCAAAACTTTTGGGAGAGTTTCTTTACTGTGACATTTTTTTCCCTTCCAGTGTCTGGGTTAGTAATTTATATTTAATGGGGGACATCATAAATATTAAACCAGCATTTATATTATCCTTTGTATTTTCCAATTGGCTTGGACATCCAATCATTTATACACAAATCAGGCAATTTTTATGCAAATTCACAGTGCATGAAACTGAAATCCAGAGAGCTTGAAATCCAGAGAGCTTCGTTGCTTTCCCAGGGTCCCCCAGGGAGATGAGAGAGAGAGTGAAGTTAGGAAAACCATCTGGAATTGTGCTTTGTCCGGATCCTTTTGCTCATCGTCAGGATGACAGGGTATCACATGCGACCAAAGCTACAGGGCCTTGCTGGGGGAATTTAGGAGAGGCCACTGGAAGTGTTGGGTGGAGAAGGTTGGTTTAAGCAGTGTCCTGAGGGAGGGTGCGTTGGCAGGGAGGAGGGCAGAACATGGTAACAGAGGTGGAAACAGGGAGGGGTGAGGGGATGCCAGTGAGAAGTGTACTCACCACCCAACTGATACAGCTCTCTGGCTCATATTGACTTTCTCAACACATATTAACCAAAGAAAGGAAAAGTAAACACATATTAGCTAAAGAGGAAAAGTAAAGGGGATAGAGGGCATGAATTTTGGAGTATTGCATCTAGATTTTGAAAGAAGTACCGTGTTTGTTGCCAGTGTTAGAGATGACGCAGCTTGCCTGGAGGCTTTATCACATAGAATGGCTCCTGGCAGAGAGCAAGGCTGGTGTTCCATTCGGTCCTGAAGAGGGGACAGTTATCTAGGGCCATTACTCTTATCATCTTCATCCCAAATGAGCATCTGCAGTAAATGCTGCTTGAATTCTGACAGGCAGCATACTCCATGTTGAAGCCTCCTAGACGTCAGCTTCGCTCGGCCGCCTTGTCCAGCTCATTATGGGAAGATTCTTATTCGTGTGAGCACAACAACCCATGTTCATTTGGGGAGGGAATAAAAACATGAACTAGGGGTCAAGAGACACAAGCTTTAGCTCCAGAAACCTTGGAGATAGCTCACTGGGAAGGCTGAAGACATCAGAAATGGGACATGCCCATTCCAGAGGGGACCCGACAGACCATCCTGGTTGGTTTTATTGCAGCTACATCCAGGAATCAGGCGCCTGGAAAAACCTGCTGACAGGCTCAGCCCAAGGAAGCTGGGATGCCATCTGGGGGCAGGAAGAGATTCTGTCCAAATGCCAAGTGTGGGGGCTGAAAGTGTGCGGCACTCCACTGGCCCGAGTCTGAGAGCCCAGCCCCTGTGGATCCTGAGGACAGCTCCTCAGTGGGGGTTAGAGGAGACTGGGGGCTTTGGAAGGTTCTGGAACAACTCTACGGTGTGAGTCTTCTGTGCCAAGCATTTCGGAAAATGGTTTGGAAAAACTGAAACGTACTCAGAGGCAGAGGAGATTTAGTGTCACGCGATCCAGACCCACAGCTCACCTTCAGCAGTCACCAGTTCAAAGCCAGTCTTGTTTGCTCTGCATGGAGGTGCACACCCATTTCCTGACTCTCCAAACTCGCAGGATTTTATGGGGACAAATCGAAGCCATTATGTCACTGTAGCCATAATTACCTCTGAAAGTAAGGACTCTTAAAAAAAAAAAAAGAAAAACCTTGGCATAATCATAGATAAAAGCCCAGCCCAGCCATCCTATGATACGAAAATCCATCTCCGTCCCCAGTTGCATTTGATATTTGACCAATTTCAGCTAGAATTTATGATTATGATGGAAAAGCAGGAATGAGACTCAGGAAGGAAAATTAGTAAAGGGAGAGAAAGCCACCTACTTATCCTCATTAAGTACCTGCTATGCACCAGGCTCTGTTCTGGGCTCTCGGGCACTGTGACCCCATTTTAGGATATGAGGAGGTCATAGGATGGAATAAATAAGTCTTGTGCTGAAGCAAGCCCACTTAAGGTCTAGATGGAGGCCCAAGTAAACCATCTGCTAGAGACTTCTGGAAAATGGGGAAGAGACAGGGCTGTGAGATTTGGTTTCCATTGAACAGTGGTCTGGTGGTGTTGCCTTGGAGCCAGATTCTTCTAGATGTAAATCACTGGGGCTGAACTGATGAGAAGCTTCACTGCCTCCCTGCATTTTGTTCCCTTTGTCAGTAAAACAGGATGTGCAAGGACAAGGGTAAGTAACCCGTTTAGTCCTGGCTGTGGTTTCCTAATCACACTACAGGCTGTAGTGAGACCTATCTCTCCCTAGGATAGCGTCTAGGCAGACTAACAGAATAATGCTCTCTGAGAATCGGAGGGGTCGTCTTTAGTGACGATGATAACAAGAACAACGGGGGGGGGGATATGCAGAACTCGGAGGGTGCAGAGGAAGGGGATTCCAGGAAGGGCTGGCCCAGAACCCCACCTGTCCAGTCCCAGGACACAGGTAGGAAGTGGTGCATATAGTAAAGGGGAGTCAGAGACTAAGAGGGTTCTGAAGGCCCAGGCCAATGCCTCCTCTTCTAACTCTGGGGCACAGGTAGGAAGTGGAGAAGCGTGTGCTGTGGTGGGGTCAGGAGACTAGTAATCCAAGTGCCACGTGAGGGGATGAAGAGTAGAGATCAAGACTGACTGGATGTCACTTTAGACAGTAGGAAGAAAATTAGTTGACAATCACGTTTCCCTCACTCCCTGAAATGTAATCTTATGTAGCTAAAGTTGACCTTGAACTCACTATGTAGTTGAGACTGGACTTGAACTCAACATGTAGTCAAGGCTGGCTTTGAACTCCCTGTGTAGCCCATGCTGGACTTGAATCTGTTCTTTCTCTACCTTCTAAGAGTTGGGATTGCAGGCACAGGCTCCCATGACTATCTGTTGCTACAGCAAACACACTTCTTTGTATATGGCTGTGTGGTTGCTCTTCTCCTTGCTGTGACCAAACACCGACAAGAAGCAGCTGAGGAGCGGGTGGCTTTCTCTTGGTTCACGGTATGGGCTACAGTCTGTCATGGTGGAGAAAGCACGGTGGTGGGACAAGGTCTCCACCATGGGAGAAAGACTACTGGTTACATCCCCTGCAGTTCCAGAGTGGGGAAAGGCTCCGCACACCCAACAGACTCACTTCCTCCTGTGTGGTTCCATCTCTTAAAGGCTCCTCAGTGTCCCCAAATGGTGCCACCAGCCGGGGCACATGAGTCTATGGGGACATTTCACATCCAAATCATAATGATATCAAGGCACACAAGAGGACATGAGATAAAACAAGGCAGTAATGTGCTACTGTAGTGAAGGAAGTCACGCACCTGCTGGTTCACATAGTTCCGTGTATTTTATAGTAAGGTACACAGAATCCACTCAGGTGGCAGGAATGCCTCAGATATACCATCGTCTCCCACACAGTCCACACTGTGCATCCCCCAAATCTGCTGCACTGCACCTCCCTCTGACCCACTCCCCCATTCTTCCTGCTCACACAGCCATACCCCGACCTCTATTTTACCCTCTGTCTAGAGACTTTCTTAGTCAAGAAAAAGATTCAAAGGAAGGTCTCAAGCTTTTTGGACAATTGCAAAGTTTACAGGTTTGTGTAGTTTCCTCTGTTCGTTTCTTTTTTGGACATAGAGTCTCACCACACACCCTGGGCGGACCTTAAGCCCTTCATCCTTATACCTTAGCTGACCAAGTGTGGGGACTGCAGGTCTGCACCACCACATCCAACCATCTATTTTTGAAGCCAGTGTGTAATGCTAACGTTTTAGTATGCTGATAGTGAAAGTTATCTGGTCGCCAGAGAAGACGTGTCCCAAGTGTCCAAAAACACCTTGACCAACCACAGCACCTTTGCAGAGAGAGCCACTGATCAAAGCCGAGCCCCCTTCTAAAGCAACTGCAGGCACAGTGGTGATGGATAATGGAGATGTTGCCAGAGGGATCTGGCAGCAGAAATAGTCAAAGACACTCTTATGATACTTAATCAAGGGCAAAGACCCACAGAGTGCTGAGCACTCATGCTGTAGGCAGGTTTGGGTTGGGTGTTCAACTAGCCATAATTTGAAAATCTTTAGGACACTGTTTGGGAACAGCTGCCAGAGTGGTAATGAAATTTGAGGTGGTGATCCTGCAGAGGTTTCATCAACTACCCACATCTATTAGAAGCAATCTCGTGGCCACTTAGAAAGACTTCCTTTAGGCCCAAACTGATGTTCAGCAAGTGGTTTCCAAGAGAAAGACTGTTAAATCTCTAAGAAAAAAAAACAAAACACTTGGGACATCCTGGCCATGATTGTTCTTCATGCAAGGGTCACAGTTGTTCGTGTGTGTGTGTGTGTGTGTGTGTGTGTGTGTGTGTGTGTGTGTGTGTGTGTCTGTTATACAATATACAATCATGGGAAAGTTTATAAACTATGAAGGAGTAGATTTCGACAAGCGTTTTTGTTTCTTGCTTTAATGAAACTCATTACCAGGAAATGTCCCCTGTCCCTTTTGTCTGCATTTCACTGGGGAAATGCAAGTCAGCATTGTAGAGTTGCATGCCTGCTTTGTAAGCTTTACATAAGTGTTTTTTTTACAGTCCAGGGAACCAGGAACCAGGAACGAGGAGTGAGCCGTGCTGTGATGGGCCCTTCTCTGAGATGGAGGGATCCCCTTCAACACTGAAGGACTGCAGAGAACATCTGTGTCTTTTGGCCTAAGTCTTCAATCTGTGCCAGACTCTAGAGTTGCAGGGAAGTCCGTCCTGGTGCAGATGTCTTTCTTCTTAACTCCTTCCCAGTTTGTTCCTTCTTTTCTCCTCCACCATCGAGTTACTAACCACACAGGAATAACAAGGTCAGGTTCTGAGCCAGATAATCCACAATCTAGTTCTTGCTCCTTTGTCTTCATCCTTTTTTCTTGTCTTTTTAATTTTTATAATGGGTATAAGTGTTTCTCCTGTGTGTAGAATCTGTACACCACAGGCATGTAGTGCCTGCAGAAGCCAGAGAGGTTGAAAGATGCCTTGCAACTGGAATTACAGACAGTTGTAAACCACCATGTGGGTATCAGACCTGTCTTCTGGAAGAGCAGCCAGTGCTCTTAAACACTGAGCCACCTCTCCAGCTCCTGCCTTTATTCCTCCTTTCAGAGATACAGTCTCCACAGAATACATTTTTTTGGGGGGGGGAATTAACCTTCTAAAGGGGTGTCTAAGAATCCATCTGCTATGCCTTATGAGAAACAGTGAGAAGAGATGGAGATGAATGTCAATGTCTATGGCCTGCTAGATTACGAAACTCAATCCTTCCAAAGCAGGCAATGAAGAATTAGGCTACAGTTTGAAGACGTGTCCTTGGTTAGGATTGCTGGTGGGATGAACAATAAACACCAGGAGGATGGAGTCTAAGGGAAAGGAGAAGCAGAAACCTTAAGTTGTCTTGAATATTCTTGGCCCTAGCTTATAGTTTCAGCAGACAAATGGTTATAGGACAGAGAAGTGAGCCATTTAGCACTGCTGGGGGGAAGGAGGAATATAGCAGGGAACCATCTCTCCTGGGACTCCAGGACTCTGTGTGATGCACCCCAGAAAAGGAGAGCGTAAAGGAAGCCTTTTCACCAACACACACTCCACGGAACGTGCGTGCCCTGAAGCTGGAGGTACCAGTGAGAGCAGCAGGTGTCCTCAGGGGTCTAGGACACAGGCTAGTCCTGGCAGGTCTTGCAAGCGTGGTTGCCGCTACCCAGCTGTCGAGAGAACTTAAAACAGTGATGTGGCTGAAATGGACCTAGACATGTTATTGCTCCCCCCAGCCTGAATAAAACAGGAAACACACTTCCAGAATGAAGAAACCCTGCACTGGACACCTCAGAGAATCTCCCAGCAATACTCTGGAAGGAAATGAAACAGTACACTGAAAACCAAAAGAAACCCCAGGAAGAGAGACAGGGAAAGGCCATCGGAGGAGAGCCAGCAGAAGCAACACACGCCAGGAGTCAGTGCAGAGAGACTTTTCAGTGCAGAAGCTATTAGACACACGCTATGAAAGCACCACACATTATACCCCAGTTCAAAACATAAAACACGGAATGGTCCATAAGACAGGAAAACAAGTTAAAAGTAACCTACAAAGTTAGAAAGAAAAACCCATTGCATAGCCTCATTTGGATAGTCATAGTCTATAGTGATGTTTTATGTTTTAAAATAACTAGCAGATTCTAAAGCTGCCAACAAAATGTGATTAATGTTTTTAGATGAAAATAGTAAGTATTGGGATTTGATCATTGCATATTATGTATTTATATCTATATTACATATCTATATATTGTGCTTTATTACATAGGAAATACAGATTCATGCCAGACACATATGAAATGTGTTTGAACAAAAGAGTTAGAATTGAAAAATAAAATAAAATGAATGGGATTAATAGAAGATTCAGATAAAGGAGAATTCATTACCAAAGGATAGATCAGAGATGTTATTTAAAATGTAACACGAGAGGAAACCCCAGAGAACATTGAGACATAAAACGATTTATAAGCTATGACTGTACCAGATAGAGATGGGAGAGAGTGAAGCATAGGCTATGGGTAAGAGAAAAGGCCCATGACCTCCATAGGCATGGACAATTAGGTTTACAGCATCAGGCATGGTTTCCTTTCTATT